AATCATCTAAGATGCCACAGAAGGCTGGTTTTTGACCTATCACATCACACAATGGAGGAGTTCATGGAGCCAAAAAGGGAAGTTGAAATCTCAATGCCATGATGACGTCTCACTTGCATAGAGCCCTTAACAGAACACCAGGCTAATACTACATTAAGACCCGAATATTAACTAAGCAATAAAGTAAACCTTCATTGGCCAGATCGTGGGCATGAATGCCATTCTTGCTATGGGGTTACTAACCCCCAAGGACAACATTCAAGACCAATTGTAGCCCAAGTATGTTGCCAAGTGCAGTTCAACTGTAACAGCAAATACAGACTCCTAGCAGAAGAATTTCAGTGCTTATGAAGGAAATATTATTTAGTTCTCTCACAGATCCCGCACCAGCACNCAGCAACCTGCAAGTTAAAGTGCTTTACAGAGGTAATCTAAGCTTTCAGAGATCCTTATTTGCAAAGCTTCAACTTGCATCATGATGTTGATCCATATAGATATTTTAAATACCAAAGGTCAGATTTTCAGAATTTGATTCTTCCTAAGTGAGGAACCAAGGGAGAGAAAATTAAGATTTTCAGCCTGTGGAAAGAGGGGGGGATCAATGAGTTAAGTAGTTTCGGGAGAAACGTAGCGAGGGGAAGAAGATAGCTGAAATCATCTAAGAAGCCATAGAAGGATGGTTATTGGCCTGCCACGTCACACAATGAAGGAGCATATATCCATGCTTGTCAGAGATAAATACATGCATAGACTGGGTTGGGGGATAAGCCAGGAAAAATATTGGACGATGACAACCTTATTTAAAATGATACTCCCTCTTTTTTATTTTATGTGAATCTATTTGACTAGGCACGAAGTTTAAAAAAGAAATGAAGACTTTAGAAACATGTGGTCCTAAACACGCCATAACATTTGTGTGGCTACAATTATTTTAAAACTTGCGATCTTAAAACTGTCATAGTATTTGTATGGCTCTAAAAACCTTTCATTAAGGGTATACCGGAAAGTTTAAATTAAATGGTTTCCGAATTTAGAAAGTATACATTATTTTTGGAACGGATTAAAAAGGAAATAGGTTCACATAAACTGAAACAGAGGGAGTTCAATTGGCATAAACTTGTGCTCCTCGCTGTTTGTGCACATGCTTTAAGCTGAAGATTTGTTCCTTATTTATAACAGCAATCAGACTATTGCTACAAGAGATTTATCAAACGAATCTTCTGAAACATTTTTGAGTTTTTCATAGGGAAGTGGATTAGGTTATTGATTATACCTATGGCCTAGATTCAGCAATACAGGACATACAGTCTAATCAAAACTTGACAAAGCATAAAAACAATCACTGGACTACGGCACTCTCCAACCGCAATTAGAAAGGCCAATAGGCTATATATTTAAGCGGAAGGTACTTATAGCTGCAGTCACAACATGGGGACAGCTACAAGAAGCTTCTTTTTCTTTTTTCTTTACTGATAAGTGTCTGCTGGACAAGTGTGAAAAGCTTTGGAGGCCTAAAGTAAAGGCTATGGAACACAGATAAATTGCATTTTGGTCCATCAGGAACTGCCCAGTGTACTTTCGAAATCTCTTTTATGTTTCATAGTGGTTAAGTAAGCTGCAGTTCTGATTATATTTATTTCTGATTTTACAGTTCCGCATTCTAAAGTAATTCACAGCATGTTGTAGAAATAGGTCTTAAGTTAAAATATAGAGATCATTTGATTCGTGAATAAAGAGGTGAATACCCTACTTCTAGTACAAGTTTAGCTTTAGCATTTTCTTAAAGCAGGAAACACTATCAACAAAACAAGGCAACAAGTTAGAATTAAGTTTAATGTGTTTCCTTCTAGGAGTCTGATAACTTGCTCACAGTACTCAAAAGATCTAGCCTAGGTGCTAATTTTTTTAATAGTTCCCTATATGGTTGACTTGGTATTACAAGAATTTTGAGATAATCATTTCATTTTCCCTCATGTTCTTTTTTTCCATTTAAATCTTTCTGCTGCTGGAAAACCCTGTAGTTCCAGCTCTATTCATCCACTATATGAGCCTTGTAACTCAATATTATTCCACTACCCCATCGTGAGTAGTGATCCACTGACTTATCCCAAATTTTCACTTCCCACCCTATCCTACAGCCAATAACTAAAATAAAACAAGGGCTCTTTATAGGGCCACTTCTCTCCCCACCTAGTGTCAATTCTATAACCACCAGATTATGCACTACTCTTATCCCAAATGTCGATCCTGACATCTTGTTAAACCTCTTCCTCCTAAGAAATCCCACAGATAGAAAAATTTGAAAGCATTCACTTTTCTTCTTTTCCATGTACGTACCAGAAAAAATGATCTAACCCCGAACTTATCATACCAACTTTAAAATGCTGAAGAATCACTTAAAGGCCAAATGAAGAGCAGGAAGTATACAAAAGTTACTATAGAAGGTGAAGATATGAAAACCAACTATAGAATACAAATGAATAATATATCCTTGAAGAGGAAGCTAGCAACACTAAGATCTTCCAATAGACACATAGTAGTTCAGTTTATCAACAGTACCTCCTGACTTATTGGCTTGCGTTTTATTGTTCCAGCAACAATGCTAATCACATATTCTTGTATAATATCCAAACTTTTCAAACATTAAATTGAAGTTCAATTAAACTTGCAATAACAGGAGATAAAAGAGGCTGTTCCAGATGCCAAGCACACCCAACTTCCAGCCAAGATATTTTTTTTTTATAAGAGGAGCACCCAACTTAAAGCCAAGATATTAGGAGCTCAAGTCATGAACGGGCGCAAAATGGCAAAGGGCCGCTGCTTCCTCTTGGGCAGGGGAGTATGGGAAGGTTTACCATTTTCAAAAAATGAAAAATAGCAAAGGGGAAGAAAGACAAAGAAAAAAAGGGCATAAAGAAGCTGTCAACTAAGAACTCTGATAATTTCCACCTTTCTATTCCTTTTTGAAGTTCACAATAGACATTATTCTACGCGCTACGGGTTTGAAATAGATTTAACCAAAAAGTTATCCAATTCATGCAATATACTGAAGATGCAAGCATAACTAATCATCTCCATGAAGAAATGCATCAGCTAAGTAGAAGTACTTTATTGGAATACTCAACAAGAACTACAGACCTATTATTGGAATACTCAACAAGAACTACAGACCTATTATTGGAATACTCAACAAGAACTACAGACCTATTATTGGAATACTCAACAAGAACTACAGACCTACCTCTCTCAAGTGTTTCCTTAACAGCCTGGAGGGTGGAGCTTGGATCCAGCATAGGATCGTGATCTGTGGATGAGCAGTGATTCTCGCTCTTCTCATTCTTAACCTCCTGAGATGACTCAGCAGTTAGATCTTCTTGAGACACACCTCCAACCTCCTTACCATTTTGTCTGTCAAGATCAGCCTGAAGTTCCTTATCAACAGGTCTTTCGCTATCCTGAGCTTCATTGTTCAATTCTCCATCATGATTCATTGAATTTCCACCTTCTGTACTGTTGCTCGTTGACGTATTACTACCCTGCACAAAGAGAAAATTGGAGCTTCGTGAGTCAGATTCCAAGCTCGAATGAGAGTTTTCCTTCTCGATTTTGATCTTTTCTCCTCTAGGCTTTTTATTAGTATCAGCCCGACCCTTCCCCTGATGAGTTTGTTGAGCTGGAATACTCAAGTTCTTCCTACTCAAACTACTTAGCCCATTCTTATCAGATGCATAACCTATGTATAAAGGTGCTTCGTGCCTCGCCTTACTAGCTCCAGCTGCAGTGGAAGACTTGCAACTTCGATCATCACTCTTATCCGAGACCGTCCAACCAAGAAAAGGTGACCCCATAGCCATCCTAGGATCATCAATTAACAAACCTTGCTTCTATATTACTATCCTCATCCTCGTACACTTCCCTCTTTTTCCTTCTTTAATTCTTCAAGCCAGACCCTTTAGTTGTCAGTGAGCATTTCTCTATAGTCTCAGTTCCTTTACATTTTGCATCATCCAAATTATTAGTGCTATTCACAATATTACTAGGCCCATTATTTTTAATTCAAGCACTGAATTATGATGTTCCAAGTCCATCATCACAATAAGGAATAGGGAAATGACTACCTAGAATAAAGAACATGGAAATACAAGCCGAGTCCAAGAATATCAGCTATATATTGTGTAGGGCTTAGCATTTTTTGGGAGAAAATGGAGAAGTCAGATCAAAATCGAGAACAAGCAACCATCATTCCAGCTCATGGAGAACGAATCTAACAAAATTCTCAGTAATATCAATTAAACATGCTCGTGTTAATACCAAGAGAAAAACAACACATTCATTGAAATTCAATTCATTGCAATTATAAATTTATTACTAGAAAGAAACTGAAACAGAAATGGGGAGTCATAAGCAAGATGATTTTACGGTACTAGTTAAAAAGGAAGAAAATGAAACGAAGAAGAGAGAATTGTCGTACCTTTTCAGCCATGATGGTTAGTGGATTTGCAGAAGGTGGTGGTGAAATTTGAAGAAGCTGGGTCAATTTGGAAATTTGTAGCTGCGAAAATGGTAGAATGAATAGTTAAGAAAGCTGACTTTTAATGGGTTAATTAGAAGATAAAGGGATTATAATTGGGACGTGGAAGAGGAAATGGAAGAGGAAGAGGCAATTGTTTAAGATACTTTGATCCCGAAATCCCAAGAATAAAAGTAGGGTGGTGGCACGCAAATGGGGCACACGTGACTCGGGAGAAAAGCAAAGTTTATGTTTTGCTGATAATTTGGAAACACTCACCCACATAATGACACTACTACAAAACAGAAACTCTGAATTTACGATTTACGAGGATTCTCAGGAGAAATTCCCCTCACGTTTCAACTCTTTCTCCCAAACTACTTATTTGAACACCTTCATTTCATTCTTACCATTTTAATACTAAGTCATCCATCGGCACTTAATACATGATTCTAGAAAGAAATAAGATGATTATTGTTCTTCAAGAGAAGATAGGGTGCGCAGTTGCGAGGTTGCGCGCTTGCGGTGTTCTGTTCGCACATGCGAGTTTGAGATCTAATATGAGAGGTCACTTTTGCGAGGGCACGTCTATGATATTTGGCTTAAAGTATATGTATTTATATGCATGTTCCCTCACATTTTACTCATATTTCGTGAAAATTATATGTTTAATGTAATGATTTATGCTAATTCGCGATATTTTTATGTGTAGGAGTCACCTGAACGTAATGTGGGATGAAGTGCACGACTTGAAGCAAAAAGAGAACGAAGGAACAATTTGGGTCCCCAGCCCAATGCGTCGCGCTGCCCTGGACGCTGGGGGTAGGGACTTTTCGTAGTTCGCTCGGATAAAGTTTTTTGGCCCTACACGACCCTAACTCGTATAAAAAGAAGTCTAAACCTATTTTGGAGGGACACCACTTTGAGAGAAAAATACAAGTACGGAACACTCAAGAGCAAGAATTCTCAGTTTTTCTTCATTATTCTTAGAATTTCCACAATTCAAACACTTGTGAAACTGCTTAACATTACCATGAGTGGCTAATACCCATTAGCTCTGGGGTTGTGATTTAACCATAAATATTGTTGTCCGAAGTTGACTTTTTCTTGATTATAATTCGCTATTATATGGTTGTTTCTTCAATTATGTGTTTAATTGCTTGATTGTCAGGCCAACGATCAAGTTCTATCAACTATCTGAATTATGNATTTGTGGCTAGGATAAGAGTATACCTAATCATCATGCTCAATTTAATAACGTGGTCTTAATGCGTTCTTGATAGATTGATTCCATAAGAATATAGACGTTAATCTATTCTGAATAGGCAAGTAATAATTCGGGAGGATATTACGAGAACACTTACTCGATTAATTAGAAACCATGAGCGAATTGCATGAAAAAGAGAGTTGGCTAGAACACAATAGGATTGGTGAATCGATCATAACCCTAGAATATTTATCTCTACTTCAACAACCATTTTCTGCTTGCTAAATTAGTTAATTGTTACGTCCATCACTTAGTTATAATCACACAATTCAACTTTGATTGACTCGACTGAATAACAATTTGAGTAAAATTAGTAGTAATTAAACACAAGTATCTGTGGGTTCGACACTCTAATCATTATTATATTACTTATTGACCATGTATACTTGTGTGTGCATTTGGGAGCAGTAGTTTGCGAGGCTTTGTTCGCACATGCGGAGCCACGGATGTGGTGCTTTGTCCGTTGATGCGAGATTGGTCAGATTCAACTGGGTTGGCAGATGCGAGCATGAGCTCACAGATGCAAGGTCGCAGGTGTGCCATTATTGTTCGCAGATGTGTTATCACTGGTAGCTTATTGTATTTCGAGGGTTGGCTCATATTTTATTATTTTGAGATTGTGAGCTCAGATTGAGGCAATTTTTGAGGGATTTTTACCCACTTAGATTGGGTAAGTGTTCTTTTCTTGGATTTCATTATTATTCATGATTCTATCTTTGATTTTGGCATTTGATTGGTGAATCTAAGAGATAGAAATTGAGAGTTTTGGAAAAAAAATCTAAAATAAAAAATGGAGATTTGAACCCCGATTTGGAGTTGGTTTTGGATGAAACGTGTATCTAAGGACTCGTATTGGAATAGATGTTCATGGTCTGTTATTTTTGTCGGGTTCTAGGGTGCAGGTCCAGGTTGACTGTTTGATTGACTTTGAGTATTTGATTAAAGTTTTGACCTTTATCGTTTGGCGATTCCGATGGCTTTGTTTGATACTACTGAATTATTTTTTACTGGATTCAAGCCGTTCACACTTCGATTTGCATGGTAAGGCATTTTTAGAGTATTGATTTGACTTGTTTGAGGTAAGTGTCTTGCCCAACTTTGGTTGAGGAAAATTGTCCTAATATTTGTTATTGTTTACTACATGCGAGGGTGATGTATATATAAGGTGACGAGCATATATACAAATGTCATGGGTATTCATGCTCGGGGTAGATTTTAGATTACTTTATGCCTTGTTTGGTTGTGTGTTCTACTTGATTCTATGAATTATTCAATTGATTAACACTAACTACGTGAGCACAATAAACTATACTAGAGCTAATATCAAGGCTATTGGTGTCTAGTTTGAACATGACGAACTATCTTGATATTTATGTTATACTTGCCTCGGACGTTAAGTATGTTATGAACATATATCTGGACTTGTTCTTGTGCTGTGTCTTGATTAGGACGCGTGCACTCTATGACAAATATGTGACCCTTTGTATGAATACTTGAACTTGGTTGCTAAATTGATTTAGCCGTAGTCATGCTTTATATGTTGAGCCCTTATATGCATTCATTTATTTTCCATGTCCTTGTGCATGTTGTTGATAAATTATGAGCATATGTCTTTGATGATGATTTAGCTTTTTTGCATTATTGTGATTATTTCACATCGGGACATAATAGAGGGATTGGTTGGGTGTTGGCACGAGGTTTTTACAGTACGATTGTGATTGATATTATTGTTGTGTTGAGTGCGGAGTAATACAGGTGGATATTGTTATTGTGTTAGGACAAAGCGATATGGGTGGATATTGTTGTTGTATCGAGTGCAGAGTGATACAGGTGGATATTATTATTGTGTCATAATAGAGTGATAAGGGTAGATATAATTGTGTCGGGGGCAGAGCGATAAGGGTGGATATTATTATTGTGATGAAATATGGTGTACGAGGGTGACATTCTTGAATATGCATGTGAATCCTTTATGTTAGTCATGCATTTCTACGTGATTTTTGTATTGCATTTAACATGCTAATCTATGTCTCTGTTATTATTTGATGCTTTGGTTGTCAAAATGGATTTACCTATGTGGAGTTGATATCTCATGTTTTTGTTGAGTTGTTGGTAGCATATCAGATTGACGTGATAAGGAAGGTGTCATCATGCATTAATATGTTTGATTATTGAAAGGTTCTCTTGAACGTGTTATTTGACAATTGATACAAAATCGGATCATGTTGGGTACAAGTTTGTAATCATTATGAGTATTGAGCACACATATTATATTGTGCATACCTTTTTATGAGCAGGGTTGATGCAAGTTGTATTTGTTGAACATTTCAGTTGGTAGAGTTGTTTATTAACCTATCCCAGTTGTGCGCCTTTACTGCTGATATTCTTTATTCTATAATTGCCTTTCTGGAATATTTGCGTTATATTATACATGTTATTGACCTGTACAAGTTCTGCAAAGTGAGTATCTTTGACTTAAAAATCTCGTCACTACTTCTCTGAGATTAGTCACTTAATGAGTACATGAGATCGATTGTACTCATACTATACTTCTGCACCTTGCGTGCAGATTTTGCAGCTGAGTAGCTATGAAAGATGAAACCTTGCATTGGAGACGTACCAACATTTCAGATTCAAGCTACCTTTTATTCATGGTAGTTTAGGATTTTATTTCTGTTTATGTAAACTTCAAACAAATATTGTATTTATTTCTCTCATCACTTTTGTAAATCTATATTATAGTGGCTTATGGCTTGCACTACCAGTCCTTGGGTTAGTTGTATTGAATTCTTTTGCAATTTTATTTATAATACAGATGATTTCTTATTGTAATTGTAACATATTGTTTGGCTTACCTAATTGGTTGTGTTAGGTATTATCACGACTTGCTGGGGGTTTGGATTGTAACAAGTTGGTATCAGAGCTCTAGGTCCATAGGTTCTACGAGTCATGAGTAAGTATCTAGTAGAGTCTTGCGAATCGGTATGATGACATCCATACCTATCTTCGAGGGGCTATAGGACATCTAGGAAACTTCCCTTATTTCTTGCATTATCGTGAAACCTTATTTCAGCTTAAAGCCTAAATCTCCAATTCCTTTCTTTTTCGGTTCATGTGCAATGTTGAGTACTCGGACCTAGATATGCACTGACGGTGTGTGATGTTGTGGATGCATTGCAAAGGTATATGGATGTTTGAATATCATCGCGACATGTCGTCTAGGCTTGGAAGCAGATGCAGTGATAGATCTTTTAGTTGTTCATTTGTGGGGTAAAGCGGATTCTTGTACCTGGTTGATGAGTATGGACTCAAGAAGGTTAATTGATTGCATAGTGGTTGTGACCATGATGAGGTCATAGAGAGATGTCGGTTGGAATCTAAATATGTGGGTTATCTCCTATGAGGAGGTGTGAGATTGTGTGATCCTTATGAGGGATTCTATGAAGAGTTTTTTCCTTCTATCCAGTAAGGTGTATATGCTAAGACTGAGGTTGAGTTCGCCTGAGGAAGTCATCTTGATTGTCATGAGGATGAGGGGGTAGATCCTTATCCACATGCTGCACGGACAACTCACGTGTCATAATCGCACGAACAACTCACGTGCCTTAATAACTCAACCTGCACGGACCACTCACGCGCAGCCAAACGAGTCCATCACACGGAAAACATGTACAAGAATACATGTATACGAATAACGAATATCAAATGATATACTTGTGGGCTAAAGAAGATAGTATGCTATGGTGTATGCGTGAACAACTACAACTTAGATCAGGCGGATACGCCATACAATAGCAAATATCATGCTCAAACTAGGAATCAAAACCTACACATGATCTCTGGAAGGATTCACGAAGCTCACGTAGTCATACAAACATATAAAGCATGATAGAAAGAAGCACAGTATCTAAATCAAGACATAGTATAGCCTAAAGACTACTTCAATCATGAATCATACATAGCACCTGTATATATGCTCGTTATCACACCTCCTTTTTTCCTACCCCCAGAAGGGGTATAAGGGAGTTTTTCCAATTTAAGTAACAATCGAAACGGGATTTTTTGTTTATTCAGAGTCGTCACTTGAGATAATTTATGGTGTCCCA